CTAATATACTTATTTATAATTACAAATATAAATATAAAGCATCTTATGATACTAACAATTCAGTATCAAGGTTTGATTGATCTTCATTACTATCACCTGGATAATAATTGTTATTGCAATTATCTCCATTATCATCATCGCATTCGAGATTATCGTATTTGTTAATTAATACTTTACAATGTGAGTCAATTATATTTGTGGCCAAATTGTTATATTTTTCCTTTGAGCTAAATTACAATTACAGTCATAATAAATTAAAATTATTTATTAATATCAACACAAAAATAAATAGTAAATATACCTATAAACCAAGATTATGACCACGATTACTAACATTGCATTTAATGCTATGCTTATGTAAGCCAACGGTCGTGCAGAATATTCTGTCATATCTTGGCTATCAGTAAACGCCTCGTAAATCTCTTTATTTTGACCTTAATTTAAATTAAAATCAATAAATATATTAATTGAAATACAAATTTATTATGGTCATTAAACTAGAGATAAAAGATGAATGTAACTACCATTATTATTATAAGATAGCATAGCATTAATGGTACATTACCTGGCTTTTTAAAAGCATGGTAAGTGAGATTAAAGCCACGCCTGGGCTTATTATGATCGCTATTAAACATGATATGTATCTCATTGGACACAAATATAATCTGTGGAGGAATGTTATCTCCTGTATAAGTGACAAAACTGCTGTTCCTATCGAAGCCGTCGTGAATACGGAGATAATCGAAGTTGTATTCGGTTTGGAAGTCAGCGAATGTGATCATAACCATCATGTCTGAGGGCACAGATATGTTCCACACGCACACCAGTGCAAAAATGTATTCACCTGGGTAACCGGGGCTCACTATTTCCTTCCTGGTCGCATTTAATGTAAGTCCACAGCCTATCAATTATTCCAAACATTAATTCAATTCATTAATACATTAACTTTTAATTACTATAAAATTAAAATATTAAAAATAAATAAACTTTGTAAAATTAATATTTAATTTAAACTAATTAATTGGTTAATTTCAAATATTGAATTAAAAATACAATAACACCATGCATTTGACCAAGTGCAAACTAACCTTGGTCAATGGACTCGTAGGTGATATTAAACCCTTTCCACTCAATAACATAATCGGTGCGAAACTTAACAAGCAACTTATTGCCGCTGGATATGACCGATCTGAATTTAGTCATGCCATTACGGGGTACACCCGTGTAATCATAGTCTTCGGCAATACCGCTATAAGTGGCCAACAGTTGACCGTCCGCTTCGGTGTGACCGTCATATACAGAGACCAAATCGTGTTTGAGTTCCGTATGAAAAGTATTCACTTTAAGCGCAATGTATTTATTGTCGGCGACTGTTATATACCAAACGCACCGATAGTTCTTCGGATATTTGTTGGGATAGTTTGGACTCAATATCTCGCTTTCATTTTGATTCATATGGTGTTCGCACTCTTTCAGTACAAATAATTACAATTAAAATCAGTTTAGAGCATTTAGAGAATTAAATTAATTATATGATGGTTATATTTATACAAGTTTATTTACTAACCTGGTGCCGCACAGGTAAACATTATTATATTAAATAAATATATCAATATATTAATTATTTTCACATACATCATTTTGCAAAATGTCTAATTTGACTAAAATTGACAATAATTATAAAAATTATTTTTTACTCTAAAATGCATTTAACAAACAAAACTGATAATAAGTGTTATATTTCATACACGATAAAAATTAACAAAATTGTTTGTTTTAACACAACATTTATGGCATTTTTAATCTCGTGTTTATAATAATAACCCATTTATTCCCGTTTTCCATATAATCGGTTATTCAGTTCTTGGTGTCTGAGCTTTAA